TATCAAAACGCCTGCCATTTGATATAAATAAATAAATATACTTGTATATATACTGTGACCACTGCGTCACAGCGCATTCTTTCCGAGAAAAGATTCCATCTCCGAATCTGACCCATATCCATTTCGTGGTATTAATTCTCTAGGCTAGAGCTTGGTTATTATTCCGGCTTTTTTTACCTTCTTACCATTTCTAATAAACCTGTTTATGACCAAATCAGTCCACTTGGAGGATGAATCAGAATGATGGGGGGGGGGGGGGGACAAAAGATGAGAATGAAATTTTAAAAATACTACTTACAATTACTGAAATAGGCAAGTTACTAGAGCCTTAATTAAGCAATTAAGTTCACTGGCCAAACATTTGGCATTCTAAATTTCAAACCTACTTATCCGTTTACCGCGAATTCGAATGCTTTAGTGGTTGAGTTCACGATTAATTGGCCAATTAAGGTTGGTACTGACCACATGTAAACACTTATGCGATATTCAGACGCATATTCCTTCTAGACACCTCACCCTGCGTCAGCTATATCCAGTTTGTTCATCCGATGTGGTCATGTAAGCCATGTTCTCTTTGTATGCTTATTACCGAATGAGATTCAATCCGCATCTTCGAGTATTCTTAAGTTGCTAATTGAAAGCACTTAAGATTTTTTGTATTGATATGACTAATTGAACTTTGCAAAGTACATTTTGCTTGTGCTCAGAATCCACCCATGTTAGCTATTAATCTCTGATCCACAAGTCAGAGTTTTTTATGGGAATTAACCCCACTTGTGGGAACAGAGTGAGTGTTCGTGAGAAATCTGTCACAATGAGCAACTCCAAACAGCATTAATCATGCTCTTTTCTCATAGTATTTCGCTCAAAGCTCACAATGATAAATAACAGTGATACAGAAACCCCCTCTTCATCCCTTTTTACCATTTAACTAATTCTGCTTGTTCAATAGCAGAGTGAGTGGTTCTTAACATCTACAGGAAACAGATCTGGAGAATCGAATTCATGAAAGGCACTGAAAGTGGTCAATCTTCGTGGAGTTTAGTCGGCACGTTCCTCTCCACTCTCCAACATTTTTCTACTGTTGTAAATAAATTCCAATTTCGTTATGTATAAATAGAGAGCAAGATGATTGGAATCTCTTTCCCTGAACATATTTTCGCGTCTGGATTATTCAATAAACTATGGTTGTCACTTGTACAAACGACTATTTTATTTAGACCGCTTTGGAATTATCTTTATCAGTATGAGACATTTGAAATAGTTCATAGTGGAGTCAGTAGATTTCAAAGATTTCGGTAATGACTCACCCTCGGAAACTAAGACCTCAGAATTATTAGTACAAACAAATTAAGGTGAATGCTATACAGTTACGAAAATGTCTTAATTCTGATCTCCATTGAAGAGTTTAAGCGCAATCAGCGCAATCAAATAGGCTGTGGTTCAACTGCAGTACTGAAAATACCTCCATGCTGAGAGTGTTGGCTACAGAAAGAGATGGAACGAGGTAAAAGGTTTGATCTGATTTTGACAATACATAGTCACTGAAGTATTTTAACATATGTTCAAATGGATTAAAGTAATTCAAATTGTACTTTTCAGTTATCAGGTGTCTACCTCTATAAAGGTATTGTTAGGGAGACTTAATCCAGGAAGAAAAGGTATTGATTTTGTTGTCTTCCCAAACGATTAATTAAAGAAATTGGAGCATTGTTGATGATATTACGATGTGCAGCGTCCATAGGGTTCTATTTGATAAAACGACTTTCCTTCCTATGAAGGGGCAGTCATAAGCTTCCATTTTTTGCCCGATTCCCCCCTCGGTGATGGAAATCTACCTCATGGGCTGTTCTACGCATGTAGGACTGGCCAAACCAAGAACTTCCTTTTAAAATCTTGATAAATTTTCCTTAACCATTACTTCGTATTTACTCTCTTACTTGAAATCATTTGTGCCTGTTGTCTTAAAGGAAAACTGCTTTCTACCTTCTACTTAACAACTTGTGTGGACTCGAACATATGAGAGCTAAGTTAGCACGTGACTATTTCGAGGCATGATAAGTGGTTTCAAAGCATTGAGTTCTCACTCTTTACCATGGCGATGCTTATCTCGAGTCAAATGTGGAGTTTCATCAATAGAATGCGTCATCAATGGCATCGTTGATTTGAAATCACGCAACACATATACAGTATTTGGAATCGATATTCGTCATTGAGGGGCGGTGGAAGGGGGTTATTCTCTTGACCTTATCTACTTATCTACTTATCTATTTACCGATATTTATGTGCGTAGGCATATTTTCTACTCAAGCCAGTGCTTAACGTACTACAATTCGTTTACTTTGAGAAAGCTAATGAATACTATGCAGCATCAATTGAATAAAAAATTAGGCTGATGTTAAACTCGTGTCTCTAAAAAATTTTGGCTAAAGTTTAAAATCGGTACACATCGTAAGAATATTGTTTTATGAGTACAGTCTACTTCTACCCCTTTCCAATTTTTTGGAGTAAATTCTTCTCTGTGGGGCCCAGAGATTACAAGGTACCTGATCCAGTCAGGTGATCGATGAACTACGTTTGACGCAGTTTTTGCTCCTACTTGTCGAGATCAGAGCAAGTATGATGTTACCATAGTAGGGTTTATTGGAATCTACTCGAGACGAACTCTGATTATCAACCAATTGCTCTAAATCACTTCTTTAGGCACTTCGAACCCTAGGCCTTTGATCTTTAAGTTTTCACACACCAAGCACGGAACTATGAAAAAAATGAACAAGTACGGAATATTAGAACTTCAAATGACATTTTATTTACGAAAGTAGGCCTAATCCGACTTGGAAGACTTCATTAACTTTTTCTGGGGAGGAACTCGAATTTCACCGGATGTGCAGCGTCGGGTGTTGAATCTGTGACCCCTGGCAAAGCAGATGGGCACGGTGGCCAATGAGCTAAGGACAACGGGTAGCAGAGTTCACACGATTATATCTTCTGTTACTTGGGCTGTGCGATAGACTTACCCACATGTGGAGCGCCCTGGGTAACATATTCTCAAGCACCAAAATTGTCTATAAATCGACAGTTGAATTCTAACTTCAAACTACCATGACCCCACTATTATATTCCACCATTTCCGCAGTACTCATCTATTCATTTTCTCCACCTTTGTGTCTGTCTCCTTTGCACCAGTGAATCATTCTTCTGTTCCCCCTCTCGACTTTTTGGAACTTCGATGTCCCTCCTCTCCACCCTCTTTGAAGCCCGAAGTTAACAAAAGGGCTAATGATAACTATCAAAAATTCAATCATTTGATGCAAAAAATTTTCTGATACTTTAAGGAGAATGAAACCACGGGATGCGTTTTATGTCGAACTCGTTTTCTTTAAAATCTTCCCCCCCCCCTCCCCAATGCACCTGAAAAGAAATGTTATTGCCAGTTGGCCACCGAGAAACAGGCTACACAAAGGAGAGATTGAATTTAATCAGTGAAAAAATTCCGACCCCCCCCCCTCCCAGTAATTTGGGACGACACAAGAGGAGAGGTAACTCAACAATGAGAGCAAGTGATTGCTAGCGCTGAGGAACAAACAAGTAAACATAGGGGTTAATTTAAGTCTGCTAATCGCTCAACGCCTAGTCTACTGTGCAGTAAATTTACAATCTGACGGAAGATTGCCACAATAAATACGGTTGGTGCTTCACAGTCCCCTCTAACTGGAGAAGTTAGTCCTACCAAGCCGAGTCTTTTGAAGCAATCGAAGCTAATGCCCCTAGTGCGTTTAAAATGGCTTGATAGCATTCGCAAATCCTTCCTTATCTGAACAGGTAAAACTCAAGTCCCGTCATTCAAGTTCCTCCCTCCCCCTCTGGCCTTAAATCTAGGTTACTTCTTAGCTAAGCACTCGTTTAAACCATATAAATATATACAAAAATATTAGTAGATGGGATGAATGATTTTACCGCATTATATGGCGAAAGCCTCCTTAATATTTCCCATTATTGGAAAGACTTTGGTAAGACAAAGAGACAGCCCTTTATGCTATTTAAAGTTATACTTCTTGCTTTCCTTATTTATCATTTCTGGATCATTGGTACTAATCTACAGAGCATTCACTATACCAGTTTAATTCGTCCTCCCCTCACCTGCCCATCGGATTCTTTCCTGTTCAAACGCCTTTGCATTGCTCATTATTATTATCTTACCTTTATCAGGTAAAGTAATTAACTTAAACGAAGATCAACAACTGATAATAGGTGGAAGCGAAAATATTATTGAGCAGCCTTATTTACATATATCTCGACTTCTTGAATCAAGACTCTAACAAACAGGAGGCGTGAAGAAGATATACAAACATATAATTCAAAGATAAATTAATCGAATAAAGCGAATAGACCTAAGTTGAGAGAGAGAGGGATTCATAAATGAGAGAAGGCCAAATTTGGGGTCTGGGTGAGTAACATAGGAAGTTGGAGGACACTTCAAATTTGAGATATAGAGAAAGGGATGGAAAAGTGATTTCCTTTCGGAATAGTAGTTTGCATTCTGTACTGGTGCTGTTGGTGTTAAGAATGTCAAAATTTGGTACAACATGAGGAAAAACTTTGGTCTGTTTCTATCATCCTTTTATATGGCAGTGTGGTGCTCGCGGTAACCAGAATTTCGGCTGGGTGATGAGTATTGTCCTATAAAAGAGGCCTCTTCATTGAAAGTCCCTAAAAAATAAGAAAGAGTAGATAAATTATTATTGATTTTAATAGTGCCAAATTAGCACAGATTCAACTAAGAAATCCCATTTTCCATTGGTCCAATTTCTTAACCAATTGGATAGGAGATAACCATCTCATTATCCAATAGAAATTATCTCAGTATTTCCGATCCGGATTGAATTTCAGAAATAATAGGCAAATGATCTTTAAGGCAAGCCTTCACCCATATTAGTCTCAGCGTAAGTGTAACACTTCAAAATAGCGTTTTTGGTTAGGATTTTGGGGAGGGGGATTTTGAAGATTGTGTTTTATTTAACAAAACATAGAAACATGCAACACAACTTTGTTAGTACGAAAATAGCAAATAACCGATTGATTGATTTTTTTCGAAATAAATAAAATGGCATGTTAAGGGGGGGAGACAGCTTATAATGACATTCATGCTTACGTGGTGAGTCAATCAGTCTTGAACGGGCTGAAGAAACGAAATGAAAGCCGCATTTATTATTGATTTAAGAAATCTAACTCACACACTCCTCAAGTCAGTGGTATGACCGAACCCCAAAATATAAAGTTGTAGTTAGATGCACTTACGCCTTGGTATAGGATGAAATCCATCTGCAATTTTTAGTAGCCGTACTTCACTTAAGCCATCACATCACTTCAGAATGGTTAGATGCAAGTGATAACTTACTTCTTCGATGGGGTCTTAATGGTCTTGACGCTAATGACAAATCAAACAGGTGTTACTTCCTCTTACGCATATGCAAACAGAGGATGCAGTTTACTTAGGAACGTGAGCACCCATAAGAGGTTACTCAATAAAAAAAACAATAAAGATCAAAATGGTGTTATATCGCAAGAATACGATATACTACTTATTTTGTCAAGTGATGTTTTCAGCGCACTTGGCAATTTGATCAACTTTAAAAGCGGAGAAGACATACTACTTCTAAGGAGATTTGAGTAGAAGGTAGGAGTAATATGAACTGACGAGGACAAAAATTACCCTTGCGACCGATTTATGACGTCTATGACGTTGCGTGCGAATTACTAAATTATCACCCACGAAGGCCGGAAGGTGAGTCATTCGATTGATTCTTAAGGTTAAGCACGTCAACCATAGCAACATCCAACAGGCAGTTGAGTCAAATCAGACCTCAGGTGGTGAACTCAAAGTTTTTCTTTGAGGTCACACTTTATTGTGTGAGAAAATCTATCCGAACTTTTTTACTATTCGAAATTTATAATGCTAGTGCAGTGAATTAAATAAACGTTTGTAACATTTGTAATTTTTTAAATTTGATACTCCTTTCTAGTTTGTGCGCAATATGTCATGAAACAAAGTAGAATTAGAAGGAAAATCAATTAATGAAGGTTTGGCAAAGCGGTGGTGTCGATGCAAAATGTTGCTAGTTCTCAAATGTCAGTCAAATTTTGAGTGTAATGTCTTGCACGCCAGTATATGGCGCGGATTCACACAGCGGAGTTACTGTTTTGCGGAGTCTTAGATATCTACTCAATCGCATTGAATCCTAGGAGGGGGAGGGGGGGGGGCAGATGTTGCTGGCAAGTATCATTTGCCAAATAAATTTGTGCTCATAAAGGAGCATTCCAAATATGTGATTGGTCCTAAAACAGGAACGTTGTATAATAATATTTCGGGGAACCTTTGAACCACCAGAGAATGCTGTTCAACGAACTTGATAAAGGAGATCCACAAAGCATGATTTTGGATGAAGATTATTCAATTTAATGAAATCTGCTACTCAATCTGAATGTGCCTTGTAGATGATTCAGTCAAAGAATGTTATGGAAATTGGACAACGAAATTGGACCCTAAAGCATCACCATGGTGCATGTGAGGGGGNGGGGGGGGGGGGTGTATGTACATTTCAAGACAACGAGCTCCCTCTCTCTCTCTCTCTCTCTCTTCTGGACTCATTGACTCACAAGACTCAAAATCATGTCAAAGAAGTTGCGGAGGACAGAAAATTTGAGCAAACGTGAGTCGGTGTGAGAAAGAAGAGCGGGGTTACGTCACATATTTGAGAAAATATCGTTCCAGATGAGTTAACCACTCAAAAATTCTCATTGAAACAGGTGTTATTGCTCAACTGAGAATTTCACTGACTTCTCTGAATCTCTCTTTTATTTCTCTCAGATTTTTTATTTTCATGGAAAATAAAACAAAAAGAGGAAATTCAAATCAAAAGTTTTCGACTTTCATTGCCTTAACGAAAGATAGTCATGCGAGAATTTTACTGATATCATCGTCTACCTCGGTAATACAACAGCCACATGAAGCTAAAATTTTGGCGAATAAGTAAAAATTGGTGAAATTGAAGTTCCGAGCATAGTAACATATTTACCAAAAAGGGTAATGAAGAAACCACACATGTCTGTGTATGAAATAATGTGTACAGTTTAGGGTCAATGAAGTATTTGATTAGTAGTATATAAGATTAGTTAGCTTTCATTCAGAAAGTAATATTTAATGAAAAATTTTAATTTTATGCAAATATCATAAATAGAATTCCAATGAACTGCAATGCCCTCAATAAGAGGAGCTATAGAAGAAAATGTCCCCCTCCCCCTTAGATTCTGCTCCGCATTACTAAATAAGCAAATGACACCTTGTAATTTGTAAAGTGAACAACGCTATCATGGCTGAACAAAGCCATCTCATATGCACTCAGACTAGTAGGTGCGGTCGTGAGCGTATGGAGCACTCAGCCAGCCACCAAGCAATAGTCCCAACACTTTTAAATAAACTCCAAATTGTATCATTATGACTAAGTTCTCTCTCCCTCTCTCTGTCTGTCTGTAAAAACATGGCCCAAATAAGTGTGTTCTACGCCGTACGTCTGCTAGCTTAGCTATTCCTGGGAACCATTCCGCACTGGGAGAAATTCCCATAGAGATTATTGAGCATAAGTCAAGGGGTATTAGAGTAGCAATCCTCTACAAATTACTAGTTGTATAGATAACTTTGGGAACAAAAGTTATGTCACAAATTTCATAATTTGAAACTACCTGTTAACAACTCAAATACTATTCCAATAACCGTGTTAGAATTTCATATAGTCAGGTTACTAAATATTTACCCCGTGCCAACATGACGACCCTACGAAGCATGCAATTTTAATCAAAAAAAAATAATTAGAAATATTCAGAATAGTGCTTCACATTAACATAATCTAATAAGCAAGTAGAGTCCTTTTCCCGCACCTTACCAAGAGATCAGACTCCTGATGACTCAAATGAAGTATGAAGAAGTACTACCACTTTGGGTAGCTATATAGCGAATTTTAAGTGGGTGCTACTGAATCTCTCTTACTGAAACGTCTTTCAAAGCAACAGGACTCAAATAGACAAAAGAATAGAAACCAGCAAAGACATCCAAGTAACGTAATGAACGGTATTAACCAACGGAAGACATAACGAGGGAATACCTGTTTTGAGTGAGAAGAAAACAGAATCGAATCAGGATATTCAAATGAGTCACTTTAGCGATTATCGATTTTCGGCAGTGCTTTAAAACGATTGTGTCAATACACTTGGAATTCCACAGCCACACAACTGACCTTGTTTGAAGGTGACCAAAATAAAAAAACGACCCCTTAAGGTGAAAGTGGAATAATTATTTAATGTCTATTGAACCAAAATTGGTCAATAAGAAACAACTTTAGAAATCTCTTGAAAAAGAAGAGGATGGCTAATCTACGATCTCTTAGAGCCATAGCATTGCACGGTGGGTTTCTGCAAGTAAACCCACTGAAACATCCACCAAGTGCCAATAAACTAGGAAATAAGCACACAAAAATCATAGTCAACGTGTAAAAGAAGGTGTTGAAAGGCAGAATCTCTTGAAACTAAGAGAAACTTAACCAAATTCTACACAAGTTAAGTCCTGGAGGAAGAGCAAAATGTTTGTCTCGCTAAAAATAAAGAACAAGAACGTTTTTCTAGTTTATAGATAGTACAAAATATTCATCACAGAAACAAGTGGCTCAGTTGGGAGCACTACAAAATGAAACACCCCTATAAATATTAGAACTAGAACTAAATAGGTGGTTAAAAAAAATTTGGTGAGTTTTGGGTTGATTGAAGATGATGACCAACTTACCAGGATCCATATTGTAAGCTTCCAATTCTCCATCCTCATCCGATCCCACTTCAAGTTCGTGCTCTTCGATTCCACTGGCAAGAGAGGGAGGTTCTTCTCTGAAATATATACAAAAAAATAATATAAAACTCGATGTCAATTTGATCAATAAATTTGTCAGAAACAACAAATCTAGATTGTAACCTAAATCGTACTGTACACATTTGTCCATCAAGTCCCACTCACTATTTGAAGATGTCAATAGAGATGACCACTGAATTTGAAATTTGCAAGTGGTGAGAGCAAAAGTTGCTCAAAAGAATGTTTTCGGAATGAGTATTTTTTAATAAACATTGCACTCATTAAATTCATACAATAGGGTCTGGGGGGGGGCTGGGCTCGTGACGCCAAGTGACTTTTATATATTCATTTTGGTAGGGTAAACAAACTTGCTGCTACCGGGGTGTTACTTCCCGCTATTCCACAAGAAAATATTCCATTTGAAATGCTTGAACTTTGGACCGTAGCAAGTTAGATAAACGAGCGTTATGTTGCAATGGAAGAAATTTAAGTCAGCAAATCGGCTTATGGTAAAATCTGAAGTTTTGTTGTGCCAAGTTTAACTTCATTAATAAAGATGACTAATGGGGGCACATAAGCACAGAATAACTGCGATTCTGAATTACACATCTTTGGTGTATTATAACCATGTCCACATGCTAAATAACTACTAATTATAAAATTTCAAAAGCTCTTCTTGATTGCAATACCTCCTTTTGCTTAACTTCGACAAAAAACATCAACATTGTGAAAGTACTGTGAAAGCCTGAGGCGAAAATCGTTATCACCATATAACCGTATATGGCCGATTTCAATATTCCTTGATGTTAATTGCATTAACTCTTACAAGGGGTCCTATTACCTAGAGGATACAACGTGTTAGAAAGTATGCTTGGAAATAGAATGTACCTTTAGGCACTAATATGCAATCTAATACTATATTATTAGTAAGTGCTAACTAATAAGCACTGGTGTTAAGATGTTAGAAAAATCTAAATGTCTTTTGCTGCTGTTGATTGACGTTTGCCAATTACGGTTGGGGTGAAAGTGAACTTACGCAGGACGAAAAGTCACTTTGGATTTTATTCTTCTTCTTCTGCATTCAATATCAATGAAAAAGGTCAATTAAAAGGTAATGATTTTGCAAATTTAAGTTTTGGCAAAATTTGTCCCCCCCCCCCTCCCCCCCC